GAGCTGCATACAGGGCATCTAAGGAAATTTGACTCAAGAAAATTTCTTAGCCATTTCTTGTACGTCATTTTACATGGGTTTTTGCTTTTCTTGAGAGCTGCATACAGGCCTTTACTTTTCACCAAGGCGTATTCAATAAGGTGGTATCGGTACACCAATAACAAAATATACTGTATTTTTTTTGAATTTTTGCGGCGAGGACTGTCAAAAATTTCATACGAAGGATGAGAAAGAAGAACAGAAAACAATAAACAATCAACGCCCCAACCAATCAACAGCAGCCATTTGACATATGAAGCCGTGAGGCGAAGAAAAATAAAAGGGTGCGTCTATCACCTGTTAAATACGCCTTGCTTTTCACAGAAAATAACATGTGCCGAAATTACAAACGTCAGCCGGAAAATTATTTTTTTCTTTTGCTTCATCTTGTCAGATCTTGTGTAGTTGGATCAAGAATGATAGAATACAAGATTGCGCCGTCCTGGGCATTGACATTTGTGTACCACAAGTAAACAAAGAATAGAGCGAAAAGAAGAACGAGTTGAAACTGCCAAAGCAGTTCACTTTACAGCGAAAAACGTGTTTTAATTTTACTAAATGCAAAAATATTGCATTTTTCACCTAATCTATTAGAGAACAGTGAATATTTTAGTGCACTCCATTAATTTGCAATTGAGGCTGCTACAGAAAACTGCAGCAGCATCTCTGCGGGATTGATTAGTTAACTTGTTAATGGAGGCTGCGTGGAGCAGAAACAAAATCATTGTGAGGAAATGCTGTTAATGTAATAATAGAGAAACATTTGGGGAACGGCTTTGCCGTGCCCTATGTACACAAAATGCAACGATTCGTCCCAGCGCTACACTTGCATCTACGCTTCTTGCATCTTGACGGCTGTCGCAATTTAACACACAGCACTTCATTGTATTAGTTTTTACGCAGTCTTCAACTCAAGAATCACTCACAAATTGCAAATTAACACAATTTAAACTGATTTTTCACTTATAGTTCAAATTTCTCTTTCGCTGATTTGTAAACAAAAGTTTATTTACCATGATAAAAATATAGTAAGGTAGAACCGCTGAGAGTCACTTTTAAAATTCTTGACGTTTCCAAACAATTTAATTTTTAAATTTACTCACAAACTCACACACACATTTTCATTTTCAATCTCAAGCAACAACAATTTCAAACAATTTCAATTTTTTATTTTCACTTTTATATGATTTTAAAATGTTGGCAAACTTCAAAAAAAAATCATGGCCGACAAATTGAGAGAACGGTTCTACCTTGCTATGTTTTTATCATGCTTTAAACAGTCTTGGAACACCTGAAAATTAAAAAGAAACGGCGGGTACTCTTTATGAATTTGTACAACAATTTTGGGTTGCTGTGCCCAAACGCGTGAATCGAATCAAAAACCTTTTGCAAACACTTGTAGACAACAGTTGACGCTTTATTACAAAAATAAAATTTACTATATCTGGGCACTAATTTATGGTATTTTTTGCAAGTTTCCGAGCTGAGCTGTCAAAAAAAAAAATATTCATGAAATATCTCTGCAAAAGGTGTTCAACCCCTCTTCTTAAGCAAAACAGAAAGCAGAAGGCCGCCTATGCAGAAAGTTGTTTTCTGCAAAAGTTGTTCAGCCTCTTCTTCGGCAACACAGAAAGAAGAATTCTAGTTAGTGAGGGTTATAATCCCTAAGTGCGGCCGAAGGCCGCCTACGCAGAAAGGTGCTCTCTGCAAAAATGTTCAGCCCCTCTTCTTGCCAACAGAGAAAGGAGTAGTGAGGGTTATAATCGTTTTGGAAAAATAAAAATACATCGATATATCGATGTATATCGGAAAGTCCAAAACGTCGATTTTATTCGATATATCGAATAGCAAACATCAATGTTTCCGATGCATCGATGTTTTTTTGTGTCCCTAATTCCTAGAGGTGCAAAACTATCGATAGTCAGACCATCGATAGTTTTCGATATTATTTTCACAACTATCGATATATCGTCGATAGTATCGTATTAATATGGTTTTGGCTCAATTTTCGTATGAAGATTTCCTTAAGAATATATTTCTAAACTACGTTTGGATATTCTGGTAAACTACTGTACACTTTTTTTAATTGTTTAACCGTTAAGTTAGAAGTAAAGTTATAATTTGAAATGAATTGAAATGGAAAAAAATTGGGCATACTGAAATTTTATATTTGTGGTTTTAGATGTCCTCCGTCATATATAAGGCATTCATCAAGTAAATTTCAATTTTAGAAGAAGAAACCATTTTTTATCTGAGAAGTAATGGTTTTTATTTACCTTTTCATAAATAGTAAATAGCGGTGGTAGATAATATTAAAAGTTTTGGTATAAATTAATTTGTATCAGTTTTTTAGCGGTATTGTTAAAGATGCAAGTTTTTCCGTCATTTTCGAAATTTGACATTACTCTTTTAAAAAAGTAGCAAATAAATTTTTAGTTCAACTTGGATGTTTAAGAGAAATGAAAAGAAAAGAAGAAATAAAACTAAAATAAATACTAAATCACATGTCTGTCGGACTATCGATAGGACCAAAAAACAGTCGATAGTAGGGAAAAATAAAAAACATCGATAGTGCCATCGATAGTTTTGCACCTCTACTAATTCCTACAATGTGGGAAACGAAATGTCAAAGATTGTTTTGTAAACAAAAACACGAGGATCTTGAAATAGCGTGAAAGATGGGAACTCCACAGAAATTCGCATTACCTTCTCCTAATTTCAATAAAAAAGTACCGGAATCGCTGGCAATGAAGCCACACTTTCTTACGCCTTCAGGTATGACTTTGCATGCAAGACATCAACCACCACCAATGTATGGAAAACGCGGAGCTACATATCCAGGGAAATTCCTACAGAAGACAAATCACATAAAGGTGACACTTTTGCTGTTTGTATAATTTAAACCTAATGTATCCTCATTCAAAGTTCACTGCATCAGTCGTGCAAGCGGCAGCGATAGTGGAACCTCAATTCTGCGAAGCTTGCGATATGGAGTTACAATCGATGGATGATCTGCGACGCCACACAATTCAACATGAAAAGTGTCCATTTGACAACTGCAACTATAGTGGGCATCCATCAGTTATGGATAAACATGTTACTACTCTTCACAACTCAGGACTATTTGACAAATTTAAAAAGCTTAGCTCTCCGGAGGAAATAGCAGCTTGGCGCGAAGAAAGGAAGCGAAAGTAAGTACATAAATACGTAGTTAGTTGCATTAAGTTAAAATATACATAAATCAATGTATGTATGTATGCATGTATTACAAAAATCCCACAGATATCCCACACTAGAAAATTCGCTGATGCGTCAACGAGCCAAGGAGCAGCGTGAAAAGCGAGGTGAACGCCTAGAAGCCAATAAAAGCCGATTTGGAAAGTATGACGATAGAAAAAAAGCTCAGAATAACGTTAACTTTTTTGAAAAACCACAAAAAGGAAAACAAAACCAGCCAAACAACGTAAAATCAAGGGACTCGCAAACTAACCGAAAAAGCAATAAAAGGCGTAGAAAACAAGAAAAACAAAAACTTGAGGAGAAAAAGCAAAATGAGCAAATAGAGAAAATTAAAACAGTAAAAAAAGAAACTGGGCTAACCGTAGAAAAGGAAGAGATTGAAAGAAGTTGTGATGGCGTGCTAATGTTTAAAGGTACAAGTGGGCTTAGCGACTATCAACATGTCAAGCCAAAGAAACCAACGGAGACAAATGTATTAAGCGGTTTGCTCGGAATGTACGGGTCGGACAATGATTCTGAAGAAGATACTGATGAGGATGAGAGACTCAACGAAAGTGAGGATTTTTCAAAAGATTACATAAAATCGGAGGTAGAAATTAAAAGTGCAGAACATACCGAAAATTCTGTCGACAAAGAGTCTGTTAATATCACATCTTCCGTGCTGCACGGTGATGAAGAGCTTTTAAAAGTGGTTGCAGTTGAAAATAAAACCGAACCAGAAAGTAATTTTGAATCTTCAGAACAGAATCCGTTAAAACTTTATCTTGAAAATAATTTGGATAATTCTGCTGATTTAGCCGATGAGAATGCCGATACAAGTAAAAATGTAGAATATTCAAATGATAGTACAAAGAAAGAATTTGTTTGCTCAGATGACGAAGGCCCTGAAGAGGCTCCAATAGCACGTTCAATTGACCTGCCAATGCCAATAAAACGACCGCAAACCACTGAGCCCGCTGAAGGCACTTCAAATAGCGTGAGCAATCAACCGGCACCTAGTAAACGTACAAAACTTAACCAACTTCATAAGCGAAAATCTGGACTAGACTATCGCAAAGCCCGATTGCGAAAGCAGAATACGTTGTTGGAAAAATTACTTGAGCCCGACATACGCCACGAACGCAATGTGTTACTTCAATGTGTTCGTTATGTATGCGAGAACAAGTTTTTTGGCATTGGCGAGAAAAAGAAAGAATAAATATATTTTTTACGTTTACCTAGTTTGAAAAGGAAATTGTTAAATACTTTTAATAAAATTAGGCATACACTGATCTTAAGTCTAGCACCGTTTTATTGATTAGGAGGTTGTTGCCCCATTTGAGGTCCTCCACCTGACGCCATGCCCGCACCTACAGAATTGTCCTGATTTTGTTGTAGCTGTTGCTGCGCCATTTGTTGCTGTTGTTGCTGCTGCTGCTGTGCTAGCTGCTGCGCATGTTGCTGTTGGCGTTGTTGCTGCTGCTGACGGGCGGCATGCGTGTATTTCGCCTAAAAAGAAAACGTCAATAGCATAAAAATCAGAGGTTGCACTTAAATAAGTGTTTAATGAGCCCTTACTTTTGACTCTTCTAACTCACGCACTCTAGAGCGTGCATGTTGTATTCTATGCCAAGCCATTTGCAAAACTTTTGCAGAGGCATATCCAGATCCCTCATGTGGCTGACCAGTCGAGACTTGTGTTAAGTAATTTATTTGTTCGCTGAGTTTGGACTCAACATTTGATAAAGACTTCAGAAATTGTTGCGTTTGAGTTTCTGCACTTTTCTGAGAAGACTTTTCCTTGCTGAGCTCCTGCAATGCTTGGCCTGATAAGATAAGTTATTTTGTACTGTGCCGGATTGCTTGTACATACACATGTTTATAAAAATAACCTGCACTTTGAAGACACATTATAATTTCCTGCTCTATTTCGTCTAGAGCATGTATTTTATCCAAAGGATTATGCGCCATCTTTATCTTTATTTAAACAAAAACTGCATAAAAATTACAATACTGGTAAAGCGTCCGCGTTATCTATGGCGTCTGCTGTCAACAAAAACAGCTGATTGGATTTGATCCTTCTCTCCAAAAGATGCAGTGTTGTTTCTTCATCACATTCGTTGTGATTCGATATGTGCTGCCATTCCCAACAAAAGATTTAGGGGTTTCCATTAAATCCGTAAGGTCTTAAACTGTGTAAGACTCGCAAGTTTACGGGGCTTTTATGGAAACGCCCCCTATGTGAAAAGGTATAAAAAGGTGCGTAAGGTCATGATTCAATTATTAAAGGTTTGGTAAGTAGCTTTTTTCTAAAATTTGGCACTCCCACCCACAGGGATGGTTTATGGAAGCAGGAGAAAAAGGGGAAGAATTCAATCACACTTCCTAAAACGGGAGCTAAATTCCATAAGAAGGTGTGGATAATAGTGAATGGTGGTAATTTAAAACAAAAACGAATTTAATTTAATTATTTAATTTAAACAGGCTTATTTACATAGAATATAACCCCCGATTGTTATGAAAAATAAATATTTCTATGTATATACCAAACTTGCGTACGTCAGATGGCGCATAACTCGAGAATGGATGGTCCACTTTCAGCTTTTTTTGTTGTATTTGTTTGCCAGATGATGGATATGAAGAAGCTATTTGTTTGTGGAAAATATGCAATATTTATTTAAAAAAAAACGGCAAATAAAAAAATTTGGAACTTACGTTTCTTTCGCGGTTGTGGCTCGATTGTTTCGAATATGGTAATTCGAATTCTTTGATGTCGCACTTTTAATGTTCTGAGGAGAATATTCAACACTGGCTTACACAGCCGCAATTGGCGATTTGTGCCGGACGAACTCAAGAAGAATAAAAAGAACACGCAACTACTGAACGACTGAGATAGGGAACGTCATCTACATCGTCAAATAAGAAGTGGCGTAATGGGGCTTTCGCACGAGACGATTTTCAGGCAACTTTTGCGTTCAACTCACCCCGGGTTGCACGAAAAAAAATTTGAATGACTAAAAATATCAAAATATAAAAAAATATCAAAATATTCGTCATAAAAAGGCGTTTTTATTGTTCAACTTTGCATTCTACTTTTGGTTGAACGGCCTTTCAACTAATCGCTTTCAACAAAGTTGGTCGCCAGCCAACACCCTGTAGGGAAAACACGAACTAGTGAACCAGATTTCTAGTTCAGTGCTAGTTCTTTTTTGCCAAAAACGAATCAGTCCGATAGTAACTAGTTCCGCACCAGTCCAAAAGCAGTGAAATGTGGTACTTTCACTAGACTATTCTATTTTAAATTTTAAAAGCAGGGAAGGTAATCTTTATGAGTAAAATAATTTAAATCAGCATTTAATCATTATTTTATGAATTATTATTGAGTTTTATTTTTTCGCTCAAACGGAAATAATTATTATTTAATTTTTATTTTTGGGATTACAAATAATGATTATTTTGTGATTATATTGTGATGAGATTATGATTAATTTTCAGTTTTATTCTTCCACTTAAAAATAATGATAATTTATAAAATTGAAAAGGCCATAAAGACGCAACCTACTGAAATTTTTACCTGAAAAGTTTGGGTCTTTTTCTTTTTATAAGGGTGCGGCTACCTCTCAAAAGGATACGTCGGTAATCACGCTGGTATAGTTTTTGAGTTGCTTAATAATTATTATACTTAGTGATTCCATAAAAAAAGGCCAAGATCCTGAAGGACAATTGAGAAAGGCAATGCAGTTGCAGAAAAAGAGGCATTTAAAAAAAAAGTGTCAAAATAATTACCACTTTCTCACTAAATTTATTTAAAAATTCAAGCCACCAGAGCTACATTTTTTTAAGAAAAGACAAATTAATTTTTTTTTATGCAATCCAGCACAGCTACCTTGATACAGTCAGTCAATAAAGTTTAGGTACAACGAATTTTTTACAATACGGGCAACTATTGTTTTAATATTTTAGTTTTCGGTAATTTTTTATAAAAATATGGTAAATTCTACAACAAAATCCCCAAAAATCAGAGTTCCAAACCTTGTGCAAAATTTAAGAAAATTCTGCAAAATTTCATTAAAATAATTCACTTTCTATTTATGCTCTCTAGAAAAAGTTTTGACTGAAAGTTTTACTGAAATTTTTACCTGAAAAGTTTGGGTCTTATTCCTTTTATAAGGGTGCGACTACCTCTCAAAAGGATACGTCGGTAATCACGCTGGTATAGTTTTTGAGTTGCTTAATAATCATTATACTTAGTGATTCCATAAACAAAGGCCAAGATCCTGAAGGACAATTGAGAAAGGCAATGCAGTTGCAGAAAAAAAGCCATTTAAAAAAAAAAGTGTCAAAATAATTACCACTTTCTCACTAAATTTATTTAAAAATGCAAGCCACCAGAGCTACCTCTTTTTTAAGAAAAGACAAATTAATTTTTTATGCAATCCACCACAGCTACTTTAATACAGTCAGTCAATAAAGTTTAGGTACAACGAATTTTTTACAATACGGGCAACTATTGTTTTAAGATTTTAGTTTTCGGTAATTTTTTATAAAAATATGGTAAATTCTACAATAAAATCCCCAAAAATCAGAGTTCCAAACCTTGTGCAAAATTTTGGAAAATTCTGCAAAATTTCATTAAAATAATTCACTTTCTATTTACGCTCTCTAGAAAAAGTTTTTTAGCTCATTCAATTTTAGTATAATGAAGTGCAAGTGTGAGGAAGCTAGGACTTACCAAACAACAACAAAAAAAAATTGCTAAATACGAATGGTAAGTCCTAGCTACCTCAAACTTGCACTTTGTTATACTAAAATTGAATGGGCTAATAACTGAGTACTTAACTTTTTTCTAAAGAGTGTAAATTGCAATACTTGGATGGAAATTCGCAGAATTTTCTTTAATTTTGCATAAGGCTTGGAACTCTGATATTAACCATATTTTTATAAAAAATTAGGGAAAAATAAAATATTTAAAAAATAGTGGCCGGTATTGTAAAAACTTCACTGTACCTAAACTTTATTATTTATCATATTTAAGTTAAGTACGACAAAAACTTTCGAAGTACTTCATATACATATAAGCTTAAAAAGAACTGAATTTACTTAAAAACCAATATGCTTAAATTTAGACATGTAATACAAAGTGAACTAATATTTTTACTTTTAAGCAGAACGCACTTTTGTTTTTTACTTACTACTTAAGCTTAATACTACTACTACTACTAATGTGGTTTATAAATTTTTAATAAATGCGTTTAAACATTTGTGATTGTATTGTCCTTCCTTCAACCGATCGTATTTAATATAGAAGGGAAATGTTTCGACAAGCCTGATTAGAAATGTAGATCTAAGGTGACGAATTTATAACAGGTTGGGAACTATAAAAAATGGATGCAGATCGAACTAGATCTCATCTGTCGAATTAGGAACTGGTTTGGAACTAAAGAAAAGGGGATGCAGAACGAACTAGATCTCATCTGTCGAATTTGGAACTGGTTCGGAACTATAGAAAAAGGGATGCAAAACGAAATAGATCTTATCGGTCGAATTTAGAACTGGTTCGGAACTAGAGCCAAAGGGATGCAACGGGGGACAATTGACACTTCCTAGGACATCGCAATGTAAAATTCGCCAGTCGCTAGCATGCAAAAGAGAATTAACGCGTACTAGTCATGGTTCCAAACGCACTAGAACCGAACCAGTTCCGCACTAGATCGTTTCCCCCACGGCATTCGCCTCCTATTAAGTGTGCAATTACATCGCGCCATTGACTAAACCGAGCTGTTGTGTGACGATTGGGCCTATGGATGCGGTTTGGCAATGTTATATTGCGCCAAAGTCTCATTCGGCGACACCAGGATTGTGTTGTGGAGGACAATACCCAAATACCTTCGTTGGCTTATTTACCAAAACCATTGCACGCTTTACTTTAAAGCGACTTGGCAGAATCAAGAGGTATCCACGAATATCGACAAATACATTTCGCCATTTAAGGGAATTTCGTCTCTTTAGTCTACATTGAATTTCTGTAGTCCAACGATTCTCACCCATTTTGTCTTGTTGGTGCCAGCGAATGAAGAACAAACATTCCTTCAAATTTAAAAAGTAAAAATTTCACTACTAAAAATTTAAAAATGTTCTTAAAACTTGCAAAGAAATTTGGGAAAGAAATATCACTGTTTTTGTTTTTATGAGTAGGGTGGGAGTGTCATTGATAAAATTAGAGCGAGATAAAGTTTTTCTTACAAAACCTTTCATTATTGATTCATGCGTAAGGTGACTGTTTGACAGATCAATCAAGATTTTGTGAAGCAATTTTTGTTTCGTAGTATTTTCCTTAACATCTCACCGTCTTGTCTCCATCACTCTTGTCTAAAATAGAACTAAAAATGCCGAAAATTATCAGAAAACCCAAATCAATACGGTTAGTGAATGAAATTAATTCATTATTCTTTTAAATTATTTTCATTATATTATCATACATTTTAGTATACAAATTTCGAGACATCGGCAACACTGAAGTTTACGAGGTCGGTTGCACATAAAATTTGTTCGTAATTTTACGAGGGCCTTGTAAATAGAGCTCCACACAAATGTTTACAGTTCTTTTACGAGGTTCGTAATTTTACGATATTTACAAGATTTACGAGGCTTTTACAAGTTTAACTATTATTGTTTTTAAAACTGGGAAATACCAAAAGAAGGGACAACTCGTTATAATTGCAACGAGTGTGAGTAAAAAGGGCCTGCCTTATCTTTTCATCCATTCAAAAAACATACTAGGGCAAAAGGGAAGGCACGCCCTTGTTCCTCACACTCGCTGCAAAAATACCGAGTTGACCCTTCTTCGGAACTCGCGTCCGTTTTGATATTAAGTTTCGTAAATGAATTCGCCTCAAATTTGATTTTGCACAAAGAACGTTGAAGAAATAGTGATCGATGACAGAAATAAAGAAATGAAATAACAAAAAAATACCTTGGTTATAATGCACGGGGCGAATCGTAACAAATCGCGGCGAATTCGTAAGGATCTATTTATTTTAGATGCTCCCGTTTTACATTGCGTTCAAGTGCATTATAATCGTTTGAATTCATTGCCCATACAATAGATAATTAAGTGACAGTTCACTCCGTTCCGTTACTTCCATTATAATCCAGGCAAAAAGATGGCCGCGACTCTTTTCGTTTATTTGCCGTCGTCATTTAACATGCGCATGTGCGTAGATTTTCTTTCTTTTGTAATTTTGAACAAATGTAAGGAAATTAAATGCATGCGCTATGCAAGAGCTTTACAAACTTCTTCTTTAATATGGAAGTTGTAAAGTTGTAATTTATGAATGAAATATCCCTTTTAATTGGCAAATAAAATAAAATAATAAATTAAACATTTAATATCAGTAAATAATTTACACCAATTTGTACAAAAGTGCTCCCTACTACGATTCCCCTCCCAAAGGCTCACTGCCATCCCTAAATTAGAGCGCTAAGCTTTGCGTTATCCATTGTCGACGAGTGTCAGCGCGCGCTATCCCCAAATCAACGCGTCGTAATTTTTGACGTTTTCTCAGATCCTCTCGTTTTTATTCTCGTTTCCTCTTTCACTTTTTTGTCCTTTCTCTTTCTTTCCGTCTTCCGCATCCAACTTCAACACGTAACGCCCTGTCAAAAATGAAAATTCCATTTGCTCGGCGTTAGCGCCGCGTTATTGTGGGATGCTTCATACAAATTGTATGGGCATGAGGATTTTTGACAGTTGTTTGGCGCTTGACGCGCCAATTTAGGGATGGCAGTAAGTTATGCATACTTGGCATTGCATGAGAGTTGTCACATAAGGAATCTGTTTAATGAGCTTTTCGTGTAAACGTTTACCCAACGCAATTACATTTGGGTGTTCCCATAAAAATGTAAACCGAAAATACAAGTAAATGAATTAAAACGGCTTTATAACTAAATTTCGTATGCAGATGGCGGAAAAAGGTTTTGAAAACGCGAGTCGGTGGAAAGAAGAACTGAAAAAATTTAATTAAATATTTAATTTAGTATGTGTTACTACGTTATTATGTTTTTTTTTAAATAAAAACTATCCAGAGATAATTTCTATTAAAAATTGAAAGGATTGTAAAATTACATTATTTAGCTTAGTTTAGGAATTTTTAAGGAAAAGAAAAACTCCCATGATTCGAAGACTTTCTCATATGTGTATGTGTGCCCTAAAACACTTCTTTCTTTGTTGCGTACGTTATCACCATGTTTAGAACGGATATTTTCCACACCAAAGTTTCGAGGCTGCTTATATTTTGCTCAAACATAGTACCCTTGGGTTGCAACATAACTGAAATTTTGTTTTTCAGTAACTTATATTTTTGAGAGATTTACCCATGTGTAAAAGTCTGCTGATTTTGTATCCCTACGTAAAATGACAGGCTATGCAGTGCAGTGCAAAGTATGCATAATTCAGCCTTATCATATCTACATTCATGCAAATATACCAAAGAAGGTAGATTTACGTTCTTTGGCGGCACATATTCAAAGCAATGATTATAACGGGCTACTTTTCTTCTTGGGTGATCTTGTATTTTTGTTTTATGACCGTATTTACTAAAGGGTAGTTTTTTTCCCTCTATTACTCTTCAGTGTAGACTTAATCAATCAATTTTTAGTTGGCAACCCAGTTAGTCATTTTTTGGCAGTCGAGCTATTTTTCGAGCAAATTTATGAGTGTGTCATTTCAGTCGCCTTTTTTTCGCTGTGAAACGTTCTAAAAATTACACAAATATGTTTATTATTTAGTTTTGGTTGTTTAGTAAAAGTGAACGCCGAGTTCCAGGCCAATATCTGGCCTTTTAGGATAATAAAAAAGTACAATCCGTTCTCTATCTGCCCAAAAATCTTTATACTGTTGTTGCTTTTGGCGATGACGTCGCTGCCACCAACTAACAGCGCATACAAGCTTCTACCACTGCCGCTGCCGACTACGCTGTCGCCACCGACGCTTTCTTAAAAATAAAAGCAAACCAATTGATATTCTATTAACATATTAGAAAATTGTGATTAAACCATATGCATAAATGTGAATTGCCTAATACGTTATGCAGTGAAACGGGTTAATTGTGAGAAGTTTATATAATATATGTGCCAACCGAATCTGAGAATCTGCTTCCCTGGGTTGCCCATCAAAAAGCTATAAGAACAAGCAGATATTAAAATTTCGATTCGTTCCAATCCTCTAACGCTGGTGCACCTACATATGTACGTATGTATGTTTGTGCGGATAGAATCATAAAATTGCCATGCTTCGCGTAGGAGAAGGTGGGATTGCTGCATCAGTGCTTTACTAAAGTCAACAAATTTAGGCATAACCAGCCTGGACAGCGTAAGTATTTGGTAAGCATATATGTACATATGTATCTGTTAAGAGATCTTATGTTAAACTTAATTTACTATAACCAGTTGGATTTATCGCTTATGGTGCCAAGTGCATACATATGTATGTATACATATTCATATGTTTGTACATACATATGTATATACCTATCTATGTATATTACATGATCAGAAAAAAAAGTTAGACACATTCAATTCTTTTTAGTGTAGTATTTAATACTTAACGGTGCTATGCATATTTTAAGGAAGTAAGTATAAATCCAACGGCAATTTAAGCTACTTCTAACCTTCCATTACCGCTGCAATGTTGTATTTGTACATACCAACCAATATGTACCTACACCGGTCTCTCGCATTGTCGCCTCTTTGCTTTCCTTTGAACACCGGCTTTCGTCGCACCCTCTTTCTGTGCTACTATCATCTAGAGCAGGGACAATGTTCATGGTTTGGGTATGCATGTATGTATGTTGCTAGTTGACTGTGATGTCTGTTGCATTGATGCGTCATATGAGTTGCATATATGGTGGTGCCATGCAACCCATGAGGAGGTAGCCAGCAAAAATTGCCAGCGTTATAGCGACGACAATGGTGGCAGCAATATTCTGCACTTTACTTCATGCAATTTTCCAAGCTCGTTTCTTGCCTTTTTTCTGAAACTGTTATTTACCTTTATACGTTTTGTTATTTGCACAAAAGAGCAACAAACAAAAGAGGGCGGCAAGTGGTCGCTTGCAGCAGTATGAAAACAACAGTATCCAACTGAATAGAGGAATAGCATGTACAGTGTGTCATTTCCATATTATTGTAAACACAGTTGCACATATCGCACACCGTCTTCAAAAGAGTCACAACTCACAATTTGGCATTTTTGAGATTATGCGCTAAAAGTGCACGCAGAGCTTTTATTTACCTTTCAGCAAAAGCCGGGGTAAATTCTTGTTATAATTTGTTAAAAACACCTAGGCAAAGTCGCCCTTGCCCATATGATTATCATGGGCTAAGAAATAGTTTTTCGCATTTTCTGACAAACGTATTATTTTGAGTTTTGACTCTTTTGAAGAGGGTGTGCGATATCGTCCGTATCAATGCAAGAAGCCATATTTAAATTTTTCTTATCCGAGTTTTAGGCCCGGTTGTTCGATGTGTGATCGATAAAGCAGTCTTTGTATTTGACAGGAGGTAGAAACCTCCGATTTGTGTTAAACAGACATTGAACAACCGTCCCTAAGGACCATTTTCGCCAAACCCAGGAAAATAAAACGGGGGGCTCCACAAGGTGGTTTCCTTTCCCCATTACTGTTTAACATTTCAAAGCTCCCTCAACCACCAGAGGGAGTCTCGATTGTTTTTTATGCTCACTATTGTTCGATCATGGCGTCTGGGAATGGAATTGATGACTTTTGCTCGAAAGTAAACGGTTATCTCGCCAAGCTTTCTCGCTTCTTCACTGCACGGAGTCTAACCCTCTTCCCTACAAAATCCTCAGCAACAACAACAACCACCTGGACGAAGGACGGCAGAACACAACTGGGAATTCACGTCGATGACGAACCAATTTGGACGAGGAACAACCCGAAGATATTCGGAATAACCTTCGACAGTCTGATCTCCTTCTCGGCGCATACAACCGCAATTATCAAAAAAGTACAAAGCCGCAACAAGGTCCTCAAGTCGCTAGACGGCAGCACCTGGGCAAAGACATGGAAACGTTGTTGGCAACATACAAGCAATTGGCCGGCCGTTATTGTTGTTGTTGTAGCGGCTTACAGAGCATTGTTTTGGGCTCCTTTATGGGCAGCATTTTCGACTCGGCATGCAGATGGGGTTCTGGCGACATCAGAAGGCATTCAGTCACTGTCCGCTGCGCCCAAAACAATGCTCTGTAAGCCGCTACAACAACAACAACAACAGCAACACCCGAACAGACGCTAGCTTGCAGAGGAACCCTCAGCATATCGACAGGCCCTGAGCGGCATTCACAGGGAGTCAGTCTCAAGTTACGTAGACTCCAGACCTGTGAATGCCGTTCTAGGCACTCAATCACCTGACATGACGAGACGGAGCTTCTAAACTCGTACCTGAGCAGATTAGATGCAGATGTGTCAGATGAGTATCCGGCATGCGGAGAGACGCCCCACGACTCTAAACATCTCTTCGTATGCCCGGTAAACCCGACTCAACTGACGCCTCTGTCCTTGTGGACAGGCCCTATAGAGGCTGCACGCTTCTTCGGTCTTCCGTTAGTTGAACTTGACGACAATGATTGATATACTAACCAATCTGGGTCGAAAGGCAGATAAATCATCTTCTTAGGGCCGGTTTCTCAATGTCTAGTTAACACTAATTAGAGGTTAAACATGGTTATTGACTCAATTTTATATGTTATGGAGTCGATCTCGTCGATCACGATGTTTAACCTGAAGTTAGTGTTAACCAGACATTGAGAAAGTGGCCCTTAGGCCCAGAGGTTCAATGTCCTTAGCCAGATATAAATCTGGGGCATTCCGGTTACGTAGACCCGTCTTTCATGGGAAATAATCGCTCATGCGTGTTGGTTGCAAAAGCAATTTTCCTTAAAGTTTCATTACCACTTTTTTTGTTTTAAACTTTTAATGGCAACTGAACACTATACTCTAGTGTGTGGCTGCCTCTGCGCCTCAATAACACTTGCGGTTTACAGTCAGGCCGCTGGCTGGGCTGAGTTGTGATGTGGCTATAATGTTTACTCCAACGACGGCGCCAATGTTCGCAGGGGACCTCAGCTGCCAGGTTGCCATTGTGCCATCGTACTCTATAATTCACACAAATATAAAAACATTTGTGTATGTATGCTCGTGTGTGAGAAGCTGGCCTGTCAATGCCTCACACTGCAAGCTGTTGCTTTAGAATGGTCGCAACAGCAACAACATTGCAATGAGAGAATTTTTTATTAAGATTTCATTCTGTAAGTTGTTGCGACAAATGGGAAATTTCATTCATGGTGCGCAATATTTTCTCTGTCTGTGTGTGCTGTTCGGCGCACGATGCAATTTGACAAATTCTGTTCTGTTTCTCCTTGGCGATGTTTGTAAAATGTTTTTTTTTTTTGGTAAATTAGGAAGTTGTCTTAAATAGAAGCAACCAGATTAAATCACTCCACAAGACCATAATTAAACTTGATGCCACAGAAGTACACACTAAATTTGTACAAATAATGTGCTTACATATACATTATGTACCTACATTAGAGTGGTTCATTTTTTTTTTGGAAATTCATATCTAAAAATCTTGTTAATTGTGATAAAAAAAGAAACGCCAATAACTCCTGAGTGCCGGGTTTCGAACAAATCCAATTTGAATTTTGAAAAACTGTTTGGCCGAAACAAAAGTAATGACTTGGATGTATTTGAGCGTTTGAGGTGGCTGTATTTGTCATTGTTAAGCCATCGGTTACAGAAGTTGACATTACAGATTACCTTGTGAAACATGCCGGCATTGACAAACAACTAATTGGGAATTGGAATAACTCGGCTCTGGAGCCACCTATCGGGTCCATTTTTTGCAGTTAGTAATATGTATTTAAGTTTTTCGGAATTACTCCACTCCTACTCCACCTACTGAAAAAACAAACAAAATGCGTACCTCCACTTTGAAATACCTTTCGAACAAAAGAAGAATCATTCAAATTGGTTGAGAAACATAGGAACAGTAGGGAGGAATAGATTTGTATAGGATTTCAAGGCAAAATTTTAAACATACCAGCTAGCTCAGCAACTAGTGAAAGAGTTTTTTCTGTGTCAGGCAGAATTCTGGAAGAAAGACGTACACGACGGCTTGGTAAAAACCTCGACAAAATTTTATTTTTAAACAAAAATATGAGCTAATGTCATTTTAATATTACATAATAATAATAATAATAATANGCCTTGATGTTGTCACACAAAGCGGAGGGACCTACAGTTTTACGCCGACTCCGAACGGCGATTGTATTTTTATGAGAAGCTGTTTTTCATGGCAGAAATACACTCGGAGGTTTGCCATTGCCTGCCGAGGGACGACCGCTGTTAAGAAAAAACCTTTTTTCTATATTTTTTGCGATGTTGCTTTGACCAGGGTTTGAACCCAGGTGCTGCGGAGTGGAAGCGCGCACTGCTTACCACCACACCACAGCGTTGATTAAATATTGATACCAATTTTTTTTTATACTCGTAATAGATACATAAGTATGTATATCTGAAATTTGTTAAAATAATAATAGTGCCTTCAGCCCTTGCTAGGCGTTTGGCCAAGCTTTTGTAATAATACTTGTGTTATAAAAGGCTATTTATATGAAATACTATTTATATAAATAAAGTTTCAATTTCAAAAAAATGTCCGTGAGAAACCGTGCGTGAGCGTGCGTAATTGAAAAAATAGGCGTCGTGAGCGTGCGTGAAGGTGATTGAAAAAAATATAGAAGGACNAATTTAAAAAACCATCAACGTAAGCGTGCGTGAACGTGAGCCAAAATTACTCACGTGCCCATCTCTAGTATAAGGTAAATGCACACAATTGCGGGGTAGTACGTGAGCCCGTGGAATTCCGATTTTTTTAGTTAAATAAGGAATTGGTAGAATGTTTGATCAAATAAAAATGCCAGCATAAACTTTAATTTTTCAGAACTAATAAGATCTATTCTGACTGTACTTATGGATTATATTTATATAATATCAGGCAGTCTATAAGTTGTAGTTCGGAGAATTAACATCAAGTAAGGAGATGTCGTAGGCGAAGTATTAACGACTGTAGTGTATTTTCTTAAGGCTGTAAAAATTTAACGATAAGTATTTTTCTCACTATGATTATATTTTAGTATTCATTAAACATCTGTTAATTGTTTGTGTAACTGCCAAATTCATCCCGGTAGATTTAATTACCTTGATTCACGGAATTATGGTACATATTTCGTTTACAAGGTACATAATTCCGTGCCTAACACGGAAATAGGGCTTTTCAACACTTTAAATTTTTTCTTATTTTGA